TATAATTTTGCATCCTATGGTTAGGTATACTATAGCTGGAATGTGTCCCCCACAAAGTTCATATGATAGAAAGTCCCAAAATTCATGTGTTATTACTTTTGGGAGGTAACCAGGATTGGATGAGATCAGGAGGGTCTCCTATGTACTGCTGTGAACATTGGCATACAAATATCTGTTTGGGTCTCCTCTGATGGCTTTATAAGAAGAGCTAGCACTTTTGCTCTGTTTCAACATATGATCCCCATTATGTTATGGTGCAGTGAGAAGACCCTCAACAGATCAACTGGTCAGATATTGGGGCCATGCTTAGACTTCCCAGCCTCTATAACTATGAGTCAAATAGACCTTATATTCTCATTCTCAAATATTTTGTTACAGTGATAGAAAATGGATTAGGATACACTTTTAATTCATTTTGGGTTAATTTTTTATTTATGGTGTAAGGGTCCAATTTCATTCCTTTGTATATGGATATATGTTTTTTTCATCACTACTGTTGAAGAAGGGACTTGTTCTTTCACTACTGAGTATTTTAGGCTCCCTGGTTGATGGCCAGGATCATAAAGGTGACGGTATATTTATGGTCTTCAAATTCTATTTCACTTGTCTCTCTCTCTGTCCTCATGTCAGTACTACACTGTTTTGGTTACTGTGCTTTGATCAATTTTGAAATCAGTAGCATGGAACTTCCACCTCTTTTCTTCAAAACTTTGTGAAATATCTGTTTCTATTCTTCCTTTTCAAGATTGATTTGGCTCTTCAGGGTTTCTTGAGATTTTATTTGGATTTTAGGATGAGTTTTTCCATTTTTGTAGAGAGTGCCATTGTATGGTTGATAGAGATTGCATTGAAACTATATATTACTTTGGGTAGCATTGTCATCTTAATGTTATTAAGTCTTTTGACCCACATACATGGGTATGTTTTAATGTACTTCATCAGTGTTTCCTAGTCCTCAGTGTATCAGTCTTGTGCCTCCTTGGTTGAATTTACTTCTAAATATTCTATTCTCTTCATTGCCATTTTGATGGAATTTTAAAGGTGTTTCTTTTTGGATCATTCATGGCTAGTGTGTAGAAATACAGTTGATATTGCATCCTGCAACTTTGCTGACTTAATTTACTAACTTTAACAGTTCACAAAAGTTATTCTTCCAATGTTTTAGAAATTAGATGACATCATCTACAGAAGAGA